ATATGTGCTCTTGCATGTGAACTGGCCTTTTGGCCTTTGAACTTATGCTCGAAATGTGTGGTGACTTTGTGATCCACCCTGAGCTTTGCTTTGCTTTGCTTGACTGGTCTTGTGACCCCTTGTTCTCCCGCACTTTGCCTATGGGGGTGTGTCAGAACATTATAGCTTATGCTATTGTGTAGGCTATAGCGGGGTATCACATAGGGGGTACAACCCATCTAGGGTTTCATATTTGTACTCGCTTCATTCATAGTTCACACCATTCTCTCGTTCTCATTCTCACACCGCATTGGCTTAGTCATGGAGGTCGCTCGTACCTCCATGATCCATGCGGCTGCCCCCCATTTTCTGTGGCCGTTTGCGGTCTGGTACGCCGCGCATCAGCTCAACCTTTGGCCCCGTGTCTCCTTGCCGGAGACCTCGCCCACATTGCTGTAGACCGGGAAGGTTGGCGACGCATCGCGTTTCCGGGTCTGGGGTGCTCGTGCTTTTGTCCGCAATACTGCGGCGGACAAACTCTCCCCTCGCGCCATTCCTTGCGTCTTCCTTGGCTTTGTCCCTGACGCGCCTGGCTGGCAGTTTTACGACCCCGCCTTGCGCCGTGTCTTTGCGTCTCAGGACGTCACCTTTGAAGAGTCGGTCCCCTTTTACCGCCTCTTCCCCTATTGCACTGCTCCTCGCCCCCTCCCGCCACTCTTTCTCGCCCCAGGTCCTCCCGAGGTAGACCCCCTCCCTGCGCTAGGCCCTGTTCCTTTAGGTGTTTCTCAGGTAGACCCTCCCGTCCCTGCGCCTGTTGAGGTCACTGGTGACTCTGGTTCTGCTGGGAGTGGTGCTGTCCCTGGGGGTGCGGAGCTTGGGGGTGCGCAGCGTGGGGGTGCTGAGTCTGGGGGTGCTCAGCGTGAGGAGCCTGAGGGTGCGGAGCCTGGAGGTGCTGAGCGTGCGCGTGAGGAGCCTGGAGGTCCTGAGCCTGGGGGTGCTACGTTTGGGGGTGCTACGCCTGGGGTTACTGAGTCTGGGGGTGTGTCGCCTGAGGGTTCTGAGACTGCTGTTACGTGGTCTCCTTGGAGTAGCCGTCTTCGTCCGCGTGTGCCTCTCACCGCCCAGCGGCTGCACGACTGGTACGGTCGCCGTCAGCGTCGCGCTTCTGCACCTCAGGGCTCTACTGTTGGGGGTTCTTTTGCTGGCGTCACTGGAGCTGGGAGTGGTGCTGGTCCTTTGCCTGTTGGAGGTGCTGGATTCGCTGGTCCCGGAGGTGTCCGTACTGGGGGCACTGGAGCTGCTGGGGCTGGTGGTGGTGTGTCTGTGTCAGTAGATCTGCACTGTAGATGCCCGATTGATCCTGGAGAGGTTTACAGGCGCGTTCGCCTGGGGGGTTATGGGCGCACTGACCCGCTACTTAACAAGCCCTTTTATCCCAATGGTCTAGTGGTTAGGTTTCTGACATGTTATCAGAGCGAAGGTCTCGGGTTCGAATCCCAGTGTGTGCACTTCGGGCATCCCAGTGCGGGGGGGTGTCAGAGGTCCACTGGTGATCCCCGATTGATCCTAGGGAAGGGTTACAGGCATGTTGGCCTAGGGGATTATGGGCGCACTAACCCGCTACTTAAACAAGCCCTTTTATCCCAGTGGTCTAGTGGTTGGGATTCTGACATGGTATCAGAGCGGTCTCGGGTTCGATTCCCGGTGTATGCACATGTAGGCCGTTGCCGCTGTGCTTAGTCCTGGGCCTCCCAGTGTAGGGGGGTGTCAGTAGATCTGCACTGTGGATGCCCGATTGATCCTGGAGAGGGTTACAAGCGCGTTCGCCTGGGGGGTTATGGGCGCACTGACCCGCTACTGAAACAAGCCCTTTTATCCCAATGGTCTAGTGGTTGGGATTCTGACAGTCTAAGGGTACTGCTGCTGGTGGCACTGCGGTTGGAGACCCTAGGCCTTGAGGTGCCGGTTCTGGGGGTGCTGCACTAGGAGGGGCTGGAGCTACTGAGGGTGCTGGAGCTGCTGGAGGTGCTGGAGCTGCTGAGGACGCTGGAGCTGCTGGAGGTACTGGAGCTGATGAGGGTACTGGACCTGCTGGAGGTGCTGGAGCTGCTGAGGGTGCTAGAGCTACTGGAGGCGCTGGAGCTGCTGAGGGTGCTGGAGCTGCTGGTGCTGGTGGCACTGCACAGCCGCGCCTGTTATTTGCTCTGCCGTCTCTGTCGTCTCTGCCACCGCCTGACTCCGTACTTCGCTAGGTTCTTAGCCTCCCATCGACTACTGGTCTTCCGTTACAACCTGGCTCACCTCTGCCTGCTCCTTGTCCTTACACTAAGCAGACATGGGGCCTTGCTGAGCGTCGTGAGCCTTCGTCGCGTCCTGTCTCACTGTCCGTTCTGGTCGTTCCAGTCATCGTGTTCCTCGTCAGCGTCAGCCGGCTGTCCCCGGCCCTTCCCTTGTAGTCTATTGCCCTTCCTCTCCTCTGCAACAAGTTCCTCTGCCGTCTCCTCCTACGTCTTCTCTGCCTGTCGCTACGGACCCTAAGTCAGACCGGTTTCGTGCTGAGCACCCTACTATTACACGTCTGCTAGCCACTATTGTCACTGACCCGTCATTTGAGTCTACTGCTGCGTCTGCCTTTGTCGCTGAGCTGGTTGACTTTGCTGCTGCCTGTCGTCTAGACTACGCTGCTACTCTTGTTGCTGAGTCTCAGTCTGTCTGTCCTCCGTCCATCGAGGGTGAGTGTGCTCTTGGCATGGACGTCCTTGAGGACAGGCAGGAGGACCTTGAGTGTCTTGCCGCCGCTGCGCCTCATCTCGTGGCCATGCTGCTTGCCCTTGAGAGAGACCCGGATGCACCAGACATCCCAACCCCGCGCTCTTACGCTGAGGCGATCGTGGGTGAGTACTCCTCTCAGTGGCAAACAGCCATGGACGCACAGATGGCATCTTGGAAGTCCACAGGCACCTAGGTCGACGAGGTTCGCCCTCCTAGAATGAACATCGTCGACGCATGTGGATTTTCAGGGTTAAGCGGCCGCCAGGTTCTCTGCCTGTCTTCAAGGCTCGTTACGTTGCTCGTGGTTTCAGTCAGCGACAGGGAGTCGACTTCTTCCAGACTTTCTCCCCCACCCCGAAGATGACCCCTCTTCGGGTGCTGCTGCACGTTGCCGCTCAGCGTGACTACGAGCTTCACTCGCTTGACTTCAGCACAGCTTTCTTACAGGGCAGCCTGCACGAGGAAATCTGGCTGCGCCGCCCATCCGGCTTCACTGGGTCGTTCCCTCCTGTTACCCAGTGGAGCCTCCGGCGGCCGGTCTACGGTCTCCGCCAGGCGCCACGTGAGTGGCACAACACACTGAGGACGATACTTGCGGCTCTTGGGTTTGCTCCTTCGACTGCTGACCCATCGCTGTTTCTGCGCACCGACACTTCGCTGCCGCCGTTCTACATCCTCGTGTACGTCGACGACTTGGTCTTTGCCACTGCTGACACTGAGGCTCTAGCCCTGGGTGAACTGCGCAGAAGAGACACACGTGCACAGACCTGGGTGAACTGCGCAGCTACCTTGGCTTGCAGATCACCCGGGACAGAGCACGCCGCACCATCACACTGACTCGGTCACACATGGTGCATCAGGTCCTTTAGCGCTTCGGCTTCACCTGGTCCTTAGCACAGGCCACTCCTCTGGCTACAGGTCACTTGCTCTCAGCTCCACATTCGGACGAGTCCGTAGAGCCGAGTGGTCCTTACCCAGAGCTTGTGGGCTGCCTCATGTACCTGACGACCTGCACTCGTCCTGACCTTGCGTACCCTCTTGGCCTTCTGGCTCGCTACGTGGCTCCTCGTCGGCACCGAAAGGTGCACATGGATGCTGCTAAGAGGGTACTGCGCTACTTGTGCTGTACATCGGGCATGGGGCTCGTGCTTGGAGGGCGGAGTCCGTTTGTCGTCACTGGGCACTCAGAGGCTTCTTGGGTTGACGACCAGGCTACACAGCGGTCGTCACAAGGTTACACGTTCAGCCTCTGCTCTGACTCTGTTTCTTGGCGGTCTACACGCTCGTCTTCTGTTCTCAGCTCCAGTTGTGAGGCTGAGATCTACGCCACAGTCATGGCTGCATAGGAGTTACACTGGCTCACCTACCTGCTGACCGACCTGGGAGAACGGCCTCGTTCTCCTCCAGTTCTGTACGTAGACAACAAGGCCGCCATTGCCTTGTGTCAGGAGCACAGACTGGAGCACAGAACGAAGCACATCGCTCTGCGTTATTTCCTGGCTCGAGTGTTGCAGCAGCGAGGTCAGCTTCGCCTTGCTCACGTGGCCACTCGGGCCAACACTGCTGATATATTCAGCAAGGCACTTCTGTATGGTGACCATAAGCACTTTTGTACTTTGTTGGGCCTTGTGCCAACGTTTCCACACTTGCTGTAGTCTCTGCTTGTACTGTAATCTATATATATATACCTGCATGCTTGCTCTTGCTAGCTAGAGATCACTGTGCTGTTCTTGTTGCTTATATACCTCTGCATGTGGACTGGCCTTGTTGCCGTTTGCTTGTGCTCAGTGTGTGTGGTGAGGTTGTGATCCACCCTGGGCTGTGTTTAGTTGTTTCTCTTGACTGGTCTTGTGACCGTTGCTTGCTCTGGCTATCCCCCATTTCGCCTATGGGGGTGTGTCAAAACATATGCATATCATTATCTAGGCTATATTGGGGCTAGCCTTAGGGGTTACAGAAACTTTCTCGACACTCTAGCCTTGTACCCCAACATTGACCCTATCTTACCGTCATCGCCCGGATATAAGACAGTGTTGAATAGTAGACATGGGTTGTCTACTATACGGGTGTCTCTTATAAACAAGCTAGCCTTTTTATACGACACCTTTTTGTGTGTACGAGTTAAGACATATATGTCTTATAATCAGAACCAGGGTTTAGGGGTTTTCTTATAAACAGGGGGTGTCTTCTTAGCTAGCTTTCCTACTTTAGGGGGGTACATGCATACAGTCATGAATCTCTACTTCTACCTAACCCCCCTCAATCACCGCCTCCTCACCTTCACTAACATCAGGCTCTACACCCAGGTCTGGCACTCGCCAGGCATGCCTAGCCGTCTCCCTAGGCTCGATCATGCGGTCAGCCTCGGCCGCCGCTCCGCGGTAGTTGGGGGTCTCCTGGTACAACACCTCCAGGCCGGTTGCCACAGCCACCTCCCGCACGCCCTCCACCTGCATCGCCTCCTCCTCCTCCTCTGGAGCCCGACCGAGCAGGCGCGTGTTGTCGCCTGTGGTCCCCCCGAGAGACATGTCCGCGGAGACATCGGTGGTGCTCCTGGCGCGCAGGTGAGACATCACCAGGTGGTTCTCTGTTCCGTCCAGCTTGCTCGAGATCCCACAGTGGCGGAACGCGTCGATGATGATTTGCTTGGGGACTTGATCCCAAGCCTCCGCGATCCACTGCAGCACCACAGGGTGCGGAGGCCTCCGCAGGTTCCCTGCGGGTGGGACATAGGACGGGGCAGCGAGATGTAAGAGACACGGATATGAAGGAGCATGTTTAAGACAAGGACACGAAACAGAACATGAATAAAACCGTAAATGAAGGACCAACTCACCCTTCTTCGTCTTCAGGTGAATCCCTTCACGCATGAACCACCTGGCGTAGCGTGCTCGCACAGCACCCTTGAAGCACCGGTTGATGGAGACGTCCAGGGGTTGAATCTGGCTCGTACAACCCGCTGGGATGACTGCAGGGGTGATGCTGTGCGTGCGGTACGACTGAAGCATGGTCTGGGTGATGTGACCGCGGTAGGAGTCCAACACCAGCATCGCCCGCCTTGCGTTCTGGCCGCGCTGGGGGTTCAGACCGCGGTATGACTTGCCGCCTTGCTCGCGTTCTTCGCCATGGCTACACGGATGTCATCGCCGGGCGAGTTAATTTGCTCGTAGTTATTAACCTGCACGTGAGGACGAGGTGAGGACTTGCCTACTGGTACTTTGCTGCGCATGGTTAGAGAGCCTGCCGAGAGCAAGGTTGAGACGAGTATTCAACCTCCTTGAGCACGAAATGAAGTGAGAGCCCAACTACCCCCCCCAGCCAGAGTGCCCCATCCACAGGTGCCGAGCCGCTCCTCTACGAGGCATCTCCTCGTAGAGGACAGCCCTCACGCTGCCAACGTGCTGCCAGTAGCATTCTGGAAGCATCCATGCGCTCCTGGCAGCAAAACGACGCTGGCAGCATCATTAGATGCTGCCAGCACAGAGGAATGTTGCCAGCGGTGGCAGCTCCCTCACGTGGAAAGTGTGGGCGCTGCATGCATCACCGCCGAGGTCCGCCTGTTTAAATGAAATTGGTCTTTGGGTGGTTTCTACACACTTTGCAAGTGTTACAGTCAACTTAATTTTTTTTTTCCATTTATAAGACTTATAAGACACCCTAAACCATCCCGTTTACAAGATACCTCAAGCATTTTTGCCCGTGTACGAGATAAGACATATATGTCTTATATCCGGGCGATGACGGTATCAATATTGCTCTGGCTATCCCCCATTTCGCCTATGGAGGTGTGTCAAAACATATGCATATCATTCTTGCCTTAGTTTTTAACAATAACCCCTCAGGCCAACGTGCCTGTAACCCTTCTTTACGATCAATCGGGGATCACCAGTGGACCTCTGACACCCCCCCGCGCTGGGATGCCCGAGGTGCATACACCGAGATTCGAACCCGAGACCTTCGCCTGATACCATGTCAGAATCTCTGTCACTAACCATTGGGATAAAAAGACTTGTTTGTGTAGTGGGTGAGTGCGCCCATAACCCCCCAGGCCAACGTGCCTGTAACCCTTCCCTAGGATCAATCGGGTATCACCATTGGACCTCTAACAGGTTCTGCAGATGCATGTTGTGAGGGGCGAGTGAGGGGCGCGACATAGAAAACCCTGTAGTGGGAAACGTGGACGCGGATATGGGGAGAGAATATAGGAGCGGAAAGAGGGTTGATATGAGTGGAGAAACGCCCTCACCTGCACCCTGCGTCACAAGGAGGAGTAAGGGAGGGCGGTGAGTAGGAGGGAAGGAAGATCGGCGGGAGGAGGCCTGAAGGGAAAGGAGGGGGAGGGTGGGAAGGGGTTGAGAGGGAAAGGCGGAGAAGGCAGAGAGGGAAAGGAGAGAGAGAGTTGAGAGGGATAGGAGGAGAGGGCAGAGAGGGGAGGGAGGAGAGGAGGGGGGGGGTGGGGGGGGGGGGGGGGGGGGGGGTGGTGTGCTGCGAGGGACGAGAGGAGATTTCCTGAGAGGGATTGGAGGAGATGGGCGAAGGGAAAAATGAGATGGAGGGAAGGAAAGGCGGGGTCGCTGAGTGAGTAATGGGTGTGAGTGAGCGATGGGTGTGGTGTGAGTGAGCGGTAGGTGCGAGTGATGGAAGTAGGAAAGACGGGACGGAAGAGGGGGTGCAGAGGGACAGGAGACTGGGAAAGGGGAGCGATTGGGGGATTGAAAATGCGAAATGGGAAGGGAAAAGCCGCGAGTAGGGAAGGGTTGAACCTTCGCGTAGGGAAGGGTTGAAGCTGCACGTAGGGAAGGGTTGAATCTGTGTGTAGGGAAGGGGGGACGTAGCGCGGGCTGTAGAACGGTGTACAGAAAGGGGAGAGGCGAAGAGGGAAGGAATGAGAGAGGGGGAGAGGGACGTGGGTGATGGGAGGGACGGAAGCGACGGGACGGACGGGAGGGACGGGAGCGACGGGATGAGGGACAGAGCCGACGACAGGATGAGGGAAGAAAGGGACGGGAGGAGCGGGAGTGACGGGAAAGTGGAGGAAATGGGCATGTGGGAAGCTAAGAAGAGGGGTGGGTGGGACATGTGTGAGTGAGTTGTGTTTGTCGTGCGTGAGTAATATGTGCCTGCAACGTGTGTGGGTGACGGGGAGGGGTGGGGTGTGGGTACAAGGGCGAAGAGCATGAGGGGAGGGGAAAGAGTGATGAGAAGGAGGGGAGGGTAGGAGCAGTCATGGAAGCGGGGAAGCAGCGCAGAGGGAAATGGGAGCAGCACGAGGAAGTGGGGAAGCGGCACTTACCAGAGGGTAGCAGCACAGGTGAGAGTGGGGGCAAGCGGTACGGGAGGGGGAGCAGCGCGTGAGCGACAAGGAAGGCGATGCAAAAGGGGGCAACAGGGAGGACGATGGAAATGAGTGAGCTGAGCTGTGTGAGTCGTGTGTGAGTGACATGTGCCTGCGAAGAGTGGGTGATGAGAGTGAGAGAGCGACGGGGAGCGAGAGCGGGATAACAGCGAGCGCGACGGGGAGCAAGTGCGGGATTAAAGTGAGCGCGGGAGGAGAGTGGAGCGGAGGGGGGTGAATGAGCGACGGGAAAGTGTGCAACGGGGGTGAGAACGGAACGAGAGTGAGTGCGAGACGGGAGGAGGGCGGGACGGGAGGAGTGTGGGAAGGGAGGAGGGCGGGATGGGACTAGGTGAGCGACTGGGGTGAGTGCAGAACGGGAATGATTGCCGAGTCGGGGGTGAGTGAGGAAGGGGAGTGAGTGCGCGATGATATTTTTTTTGCGTCGGGAGTGAGTGCGCGACAAGGCTAAGAGCCGATGGGAGTGAGTGTCACATGTGCGTTTGTGAGCGACTATTGAGTGAGCGATAGGAATGAGAGAGACATGAGTGTTTGTGAGCTTGCAACCGGAGTGAGTGAGCGCCGTAAAATCATTGCTTGAGTGACGGCTACTCAGTGAGAGTGTTTTCATACGAAAGGGGTGTTTGCGGTAGTGAGAATAGTTCGAGACGGTCGCGATAGCTCTGGAACTACTTTGAGACACCCTGATGTGCGTGCTATTGAACGCGATATCTCTGTGGCTGTATGTGCTTTGCGATCACGCTCGCTCGAATTCTGTATTTTACGTGGGCAATGGAGCTCCGATTAGGTGCTAGCGGATCTGACGGAAAGGACCGTTTGTGCGTGTTACTAAAGACTGAACATGGAGAAGGGAGGTGGGCGTATGTAACAACCACGGCCCTTATAACAACAGGCAACCGCGGGTTCAATGTAAATCCTCCTTGACAATTTATATAAAATCAAAGTTACAATGCTTGAAATTATCTAATTAATCCCACCAAGGGATAATCAAGCCTTAGCCTAAGCTTAAAGGATCTTGAGAGGAGAAGTTGTAGCTCTTGAAGAAACTTGGGTAGATAAGTAGCTTCTTGTAGAGCTTATCCTTGAAAATAACTCAAGTCTAGTTGAGTAGGAGGGCTTGTTAGGAGAGCCAAAGTAACTTAGAGAGATCCCATTTCCAAGTTGGTAAGTTGGAGTTGGGAAGTAGGAATGAGCTTGAAAGCTCCAACCCCTTCCATCATACCCCTTGGGGCTCTTCCCAACCATGGCTTCCATGGTTGGGGAGCTAATAGGCTTGGAGCCTATGTGGCACTTTAGTTTGGTTGGGGAAAACCCAACTTAGCACAATTGTATGGTTGTTTTAAACTTTGTGTGGATTGTAACAACAACTGTCAACTTCCCATTGGTTGGAAATCCAACCTTGCACATTCATTTGGTTGGGTTGGAAAACTTCCCAACCTTCACATTTGTTGGGTTGGAAAGTCCCAAGCCTCCAGGTTGAGGGTTGGGAAAACCAAAGCAATGTTCTTCTCCAACTCAACCTTCCCAATTTCCTTCACGGCATTTCTCATCGAGGAAGTCTCTCGATGTTTGACTTTAGGAAGTTAGCCGTAGATTAGGCAGAGTAGGTCATGCGTTACACTCCTCCCCCCCTAGGTGGCAACGTCCCCGTTGCCTTAGGGTGGTTCTGAGGACGAGCGCTTCGAGCACGCCGTGTCACATTACGACCAGGGTCAACACCATCCACTGGTTGTGCGGCAGCTCGCCGGGCCAGATCTGCCATGTATGACTGAACTGCAGTTTCAGTCAGATGCTCTTCTGGCTCCCATGAGTTGTGTTCAGGCCCGTAGCCTTTCCACTTGATGAGGAACTCTTGTACTGTCTTGCGGCCGCGCTGTCGATCACGATGCATTAGCACTCGTTCGACTTCATAAAATAGTTCCTCCCCCAGGACGATCGTTGGTGGCGGCAAGTACTTACCCCCTGCAACGTACTTGTTCAACAGAGACACGTGGAAGACGTCGTGAATCTGTAGTGTATCAGGTAGCTTAAGCTTGTAGGCTACCACACCAACACGCTTGATCACCTCGAATGGCCCAATCCATCGAGGGAACATCTTTCGTGCTCCAGGGATTTTGAGACGAATGTTCTTCGTGCTCAACAAAACTTTGTCTCCAACCTCAAATGAGACTTCCCGGCGTTTCATGTCGGCGTAAGACTTTTGTCGCTGCTGAGAGAGTTGCAGCCAATGGCGAGCAGACTTAAGCGCTTCTTGCTGCTTGCCAACAAAGTCTTTAGCGGCAGGAATTTTCAATCCACCGATCCCATGCGTAGCAGGTGTTGTGGGATGCCGACCATAGTTCAGAATGAAAGGTTTCTCACGTGTACCTTCATGAACTGAATTGTTCACTGCGAATTCAACGACAGGCAACAACTCGTCCCAATCATCCTGAGTTGGGCCAATGAATGAACGAAGCGTCTGTTCAAGTGTCCGGTTTGTTCGTTCCGTCTGCCCATCTGTTTGTGGGTGGAACGCCGATGACATCTTGAGCTTCGTCCCTAGTGTCCGTGTGACTTCTTGCCAGAACCGGCTTGTGAAGCGCGGATCCCGGTCGGACACCAAGACACGTGGTAACCCGTGTAAGCGGAAAACGTGCGCCACAAACAATTTGGCCGTATCTTCCGCAGATACGTCTGTTGTCGTAGCCACGAAATGCACCATTTTGTCAGACGATCCACAAACACTAGGATCGCTGTATGGCCATCGCGAGACTTGGGAAGATCCGTGATAAAATCCAAGGATACGCTCTCCCAAGGTTCATTCGGGATCTCGAGTGGTTGAAGCAAACCACCAGGCTTCTTTGTGTCCGTTTTATTTCGTGCGCATGCATCGCATCGCGCCACGAATTGTTGGACCTCAGTGCCCAATCCCGGCCACCAGTACACATCACTCAAGGCCCACCTCGTCTTCTTGACCCCTAGGTGTCCTCCGTACTTAGCGGCATGCATTTCTTCCAGAATATCATTCCGCAGGTTACCCACGTGAGGTACAACAATCTCATTCTTACGCCACCACAGCTCGTGCTCCCACTTGAGTTCCTTCGTGTTTCGTGGGTTCTGAAACCAGGGGTCAATCTGATACCCTGTGCGGATGCGTTTCAGAAAACCACTGAAGGTAATCTCACTCACTCGAGCCGTTGCTAGGACACTGAAGCAAGCAGAAAATACTGCCGCATCTTCTGTGTCGTCTAGCCATGTTGCTGCCCCTATCGGTTGTCTGCTGAGGGGGTCAGCCAGGTTCGTCGAACCTGCTCGATATCGAATATCGAAGGTGAACCCACTAAGGAGTTCCGCCCATCGGGCTTGACGTCGAGTAAGCGTGGCTTGGGTGGCGAAATAGGTGTTTGGACAGTGATCAGTCGTAACCACAAAGTCCACACCCTCCAGATAACATCGCCATGTACGTAGTGCATGAACGACCGCCAACAGTTCTTGTTCGGACGTCGTATAGCGCTGCTCTGCCGGGGAGAGCTTTCGACTCTCAAATGCCACTGGTCTCCCTTCTTGCAAGAGGACCGCCCCAATCCCAATCAATGAGGCGTCAGTAACAACCTCATAGGGCTTTGTCGGATCTGGTAAAACCAGTACCGGAGCATTGGTCAGCATTCGCTTGACCTCGTCGAATGCGTTTTGGCATTGTTGTGTCCATTGCCAAGCACTACTCTTGCGAGTGAGGGCCGTCAATGGAGCAACAACGGTAGAATAATTCTGCAAAAATCGACGAAAATAGTTCGCCAGTCCTAAAAACGACCTGATTTGACCCACATCTTGTGGCACCGGCCAGTTTTGGACTGCGACAACTTTCTTTGGGTCTACTTTGAGACCATCATTTCCCACGAGATGGCCAAGATATTCCAACTCGCGTTTGTAGAAATGACATTTCCATAGGCGAGCATAGAACTTATGCTCTCGGAGTTTCCCTAACACCCATTTAAGGTGTCGCGTGTGCTCTTCTTCCGTCTTGGAATAAACCAAGATGTCATCCAGATAGACTAGAACGAACTGTCCAATCGCCTCGCGAAAGACATCATTCATAGCTCTTTGAAAAGATGCAGGAGCATTGGTCAAGCCAAAGCTCAGCACTCGCCACTGAAAATGACCAAACGGCGATCGGAAAGCCGTCTTGGGTACATCTTCTTCAGTGATGCGCAATTGGTGATACCCTTGTGCGAGGTCCAATGCGCTGAACCACTGGGCACCCTGGAGTTTGTCGAACAGGTCCTCTATTCTCGGTAGGGGATACCTGTTCTTCACCGTTATCTTGTTCAGAGCACGGTAGTCTACGCACATGCGTAACCCTCCGCCCTTTTTGTTCACGAACAAGATCGGCGCTCCGTAAGGTGATGCGCTTGGTTCAATCCATCCCTTCCTGAGGTACTCCTCAATTTGTTGTTTAGCCTCCTCGTACTCAGCTGGACTGAGGCGATACAGAGGTCTAAACGGTGGGAGCTTTCCAGGCTCCACTGGGATGGTGTGACCGACAGCACGGTCTGGAGGAAGGCCATCTGGGATGGGCTCAAAAACCTCTGCAAATTCGTCCGCCAGTGCTCTCATCTGAGGCGGGAAATCCTCGACCCCAGGCATCTCGTGTTCAGCATTCTCAAGCTGTACCACAAAGAAGGTATCGGCTTGTCGAACATGCTGTCCGAAC